ATAAAGTTAAGTTAATATCTAGTGGGGAAGACTTCGTTCCCACACATTTGCACACTGTGAGAGTGATAGATTTTTTTTCCCATCACACAGGGTATAACGTCATTTCCAAAAAATTAAAAGAAAAATAAAATATAAGTAAAGGCCCAGAAATAGAGAATGAATACTTGAAGAAAGTGATGGCTGAGTCCTGAGAGAAACAATTTCCAGGTATTTTTTTTCAGGATTCACCTGTAGGGAAGGGGAAGGGAAAAGAATGTTAGGGCATGAAATTCTATGAGGAACTAAAACAAATTCTTTTAAGTGATCTAAAATTAAAATAAAGTATAGAGAAGAGATGAATGCATAGTTCTAAGAAATTTATTTACACCATCTTTATTTTTGGAGTAATGTGAGGATATGATTTAAAATTGCTGAAAAAAAGTCCAGGATGGGTGAATTCTTGAAAGTTTCATAAAAGCCACTGGAGTAACATATAGGACAGCAATTGTGCATAATATTTTTCTCACGGAAGCTTCTTCTTCTGTGTTAGAGAAAGGATGTAAGGTTGTGTAGACATATGCGTAAGCATCACCTTTCCTATCTCCAGGAGTGTTTAGTCATCTTTATTCTTATCTGATGTTATTCCAGAACAGGTTGGTGATGTTGAAAATAAGTGAGATGCAGAAGGTGCTGGTTGTTTTTAAAACCTGGAAAATTCTGAGGCAATTGCAAAGGGATTCAGAACACAGTCAACTTTATCAACAGTTTTTGTGCAGCATGTTTACAATTTCTGTTTGTTTCACTTTAGTTTAACTGCAGAAAGTAAACTCAAGTGAAAACATAATGCTTTCACTTTTCCTGCTCCTTATGAAGCAAAGTCAACTAATTACTTGGAAGGGGATCCACTAAAATTCCCACATATATTCATTTTTGATAAACTTGTAGAGAACTGTCTTTATGAAGGGAGAAGAGAAAAAACTGGAGCTTTCATGGAAAAGTGTTAGTGTTTCACCAAGATTTTCAGGTCAAGACGCTGAAATGAATGTGTCTGGAAGGAAAGAAAAACATCACACAGATATATTACTTCCACATTACAGACATCTGGGTATTTGAGAAATTCTGAATGATTACCTATTCATTCATGTTCTCATTAATGCGATTCACTAAGTATTTCTGGTTCTTCTCTTCTGGGCATGAGGTAGTTTGCATTTTCCCATCCCTTTAACGTGAAGTCTGGCCCTGTGATTTGCTTTGGTGAATGAATCATGAAAGGATGTTCCATATGTCACATCTAGGATGAAGCTGTAAGAGCTTCCATACAATTTGTCAGAATCTCTTTCCCCTGCATGGCAACAGGCTCCAGATGTGAAGGTTCTATGAGCCTTGTTCCTGTAGGGAAATTTGGTCCAGAGTTTTCCCCTCTACCCAATCTCTTACCCCACATGAATATTTGGCATAAATGAGAAACCTTTGTTGTTGTAAGGCATAAGATTTGCAGATTACATTGTGACTGCAACACAATATAGTGTAGCCTGTGAAATCAATATCTTTTAGGATATTTTCCTGTGTGTTGTGTGTTTATAAATAATTGTAAAAATCTCACATCCTAATATGTGTCACTGCTTATTGATGTCTTTTTCTTGCCTACCTTCTTGTTACTGTTTTTTCTGATAACTAACCTGACTTCAAATATTTGGAAACCAAGTGTTTTGAAATGTTTGTATGATCATGTATAGATTTTAACATGACTTTGTTATGCACAAATTATGCATATATTTGTTTTGCCCTTCCTTCATTTCACAGAATATTCATGTATTACATCAATTAGTAGCATGGTTTGATCCATCTTCTACATCTTCTCCATGCTTTCATATCACCTTCCTAAGAAGAAAGTGCAACATTTAATTAGTTTTTATGAATTCTTACGATCCAGATACTAGAAATTCATATTTATTAAAACTCATTTTTTGCTGAAAATATTATAGAAATGATAACAGGGCGATGATGACAGAAACTCTAAAAGAGATCACGCTCCAGCAACGTGTATGTTCAGCGTCATTGCAAAGCAATATAATTCATGCCAGTAAATTTCCATCTATGAGTTCTGATAACTGAAAGTCAGAAATTAAACTTTGAAGTACATAGCTCTGACAGTATTCTGGGTTTTAAAATTTTATAGAAATGAAAAGAATGGGATAATGTGAGAGGTTCCAAAGACTGTGTTACTAGGGAAAACAGTACATGGCCACATTTTAGATGTTTATTTTTTACTTGATATCTTTCTAAGTGGGAATCCTTTTGGGGAAGTAAAATAAAACCTTTGCCAACTCACATTGTCTTTCTATTCTTATAACATAATTTTATTTCCATTTCCTGGCATCAGAAAACAAGACTTGAAGTGAAAATTCTGAGAGTCATGATAGGTATGAGGACATTTAATCATTTTTATGCACACTTCCTGATAATCAAGTGATGAGTTTGGCACTGGAGTCCCATGAGCTTTGTTCTCATAATTTTTCTAAGTTAGTGCTCAATGAATCTAAGGCAGTTCATCTTTTTAAGGTTATAAAAAGAATGTAATGCATTCACATGGAATTTAATTATTGATATTAAATGTTATCATAATATCTTGAAATTCTTATTATCGATGGTCCAAAATACCATTGAGTCACATTTCTTCCTATCCAGTTCCACATGATACAAAGACCTAGATGGTGCTCATGAAAGGAATAGTGAAAAGAAGCAAATAATTAGAAAGAGTGATATTATAATCAGGGTTAACATGGATGATAACTTCTTTATTCATCTGGCAGGCACTTACCAAGCAGCACTAGACACTATGCTAAGCACCATGAGTACAGAGATAAAAAATGATATGGCACCATGCTTTTTTCTTTTTTGAGGTTGTACATAGGTTACTTTTATTTGTTTTGTCTGTGTTTGAGAGATTTTATTAAGCTAGAATATTGTATTAGAGATTCAATTCCATTTTCAAGTATTTTGTTAAGAGGACCTCAGGATAATTGTGGGGAAAAGGGATATTTGGAGGTCATGTCCCTTGATATTAACTATATTACAGAATTTTATAAATTAAGGTGGACTACTTTTTTTTGGCAGTACTAGTGTTTGAACTCAGGGCCTCATGCTTACTAGGTTGGAGCTCTAGCACTTGAGCCACACACCCAGCCCAAGGTGGATTTTTTTTTATGGTGATCATTTTTTTTCTTTTATTATTCATATGTGCATACAAGGCTTAGGTCATTTCTCCCCCCTGCCCCCACCCCCTCCCTTACCACCCTCTCTGCCCCCTCCCTCTCCCCCCCCACCCCTTCAATATCCAGCAGAAACTATTTTGCCCTTATTTCTAATTTTGTTGTAGAGAGAGTATAAGCAATAATAGGAAGGAACAAGGGTTTTTGCTGGTTGAGATAAGGATAGCTATACAGGGCATTGACTCACATTGATTTCCTGTGCATGTGTGTTACCTTCTAGGTTAATTCTTCTTGATCTCACCTTTTCTCTAGTTCCTGGTCCCCTTTTCCTATTGGCCTCAGTTGCTTTTAAGGTATCTGCTTTAGTTTCTCTGCGTTAAGGGCAACAAATGCTAGCTAATTTTTTAGGTGTCTTACCTATCCTCATACCTTCCTTGTGTGCACTTGCTTTTATCTTGTGATCAAAATCCAATCCCCTTGTTGTGTTTGCCCTTGATCTAATGTCCACATATGAGGGAGAACATACGATTTTTGGTCTTTTGGGCCAGGCTAACCTCACTCAGAATGATGTTCTCCAAGTCCATCCATTTACCAGCGAATGATAACATTTCGTTCTTCTTCATGGCTGCATAAAATTCCATTGTGTATAGATACCACATTTTCTTAATCCATTCGTCAGTGGTGGGGCATCTTGGCTGTTTCCATAACTTGGCTATTGTGAATAGATGGCACCATACTTAAGGAGCTGACATCTTAGTGGGGATATGTATTGATTTTACACAGATGCACATTGATTATACTAGACCACAGAGACACGGACAGTGCTGTTGAAACGGAATAGAGAAAAGGATTAGTTCTTTTACTAAGTACTAATGAAAGGAACATCAAGGGCTTCATAGAAAAGGTGATGCTGGAATTTGGCACTTAATACAATACTCATCATATTTGTTTAGTTAACCATATTAGAACGATTAAGGATTTTACTACCATATCTGTAGGAGATAATTGGAGAACTTTCCTCTGAAAATAAATTGTTCAAATTCTATGTCATGTTCTATACTTTAGAAATTTACTGGGTTTTATTCTAGGTAAATTTTTAAATATTTAATAACAGCAATCGCCAGTGAGAATGGATACTGACAATCAAATTAGGTTAGGGCCGGGAAAGAAACTGAACAGTGCTTGTGAACTATTTAATTTTATGTTTATGGATGGATTTCAACTTCTCACCTCTCAATATATAAATAATACTAGTTCCTTATGGTGAGAATATGAGAGAATATCAAAGTGCTTGGCATGATTAATAGTACAGAGTATGAATTTAAGAAATTTTAGGTATTATGATTGTTAAGAATAAAGAAGAGCAGACTTGACAACAAGTTATAGATATATGTAAAAGTGTTTTGCAATTGGAGAGGTAGAAAAACTGGGGAACAAATGCTTTGCGAGAGCAGAACTATTGAAAGTTTGAAGAAGATGAGAGGGTGGCTCTTGAAAAGGTGATTATTTGGCAATTTTCTTGGCAAAATACTGGCAATTCTCTTTTTGTGGGGATAATTATTTTATATTCCACTTGCTCCTGATTTCAGTGATCGTCTGTTGTGATAATGAACGGCCCTGGAGTGAATGTCAGCATTTGATTGTGGCTGTTTGCAAACTCTGCTGTGATTACACTCAGTTGTCTAATTGCTTAATTTATTGATGTCTCCCTGACATGTTTTTCAGCAACATTTGTGATTGCAGATATTTAATCACTTCCCCTCTGACTCATTATCATACGTTTGCATTTGATTTGTCTGATTGCTGCAGGTGGAGACAATAGGCGATGCATACTGTGTTGCAGCGGGGCTTCACAGGAAGAGCCTCTGCCACGCCAAACCCATTGCTCTGATGGCCCTGAAGATGATGGAGCTTTCAGAAGAGGTGCTGACACCTGACGGAAGACCAATTCAGGTAACCCTGTCAAAAATCCCATGTGAGTAGTAAATGTACCTTCAATTGGAGGGGGCTGATGTTCCCTTCTGAATTCTACCTACTGTAATTGATAAATCTAGACAAGTCAGGTGCTCAAGGAGGACAGAGAGTCACTAGGTACAGCTTGTGAAAATGGAATATGGTCTAAAATAGGAAAGGTATGTGGAAGGCAAATTACTATGGTGAGAAAAAGGAACTAAAGGATTAGACCAAGGGGGAGAGTTTGCTGTCAGTGATCAAATCACTACATCCAAGCAAGGGTGAAGGTGAGAATCAGAGTCTGAGATGTAAGCCAAGAAGTAAATAACAAAGAAGCAAGAAGGTGGCAGACCTGGGCAGCTTCCTGTAGGTAGTGGCTAGGTGTTCCTTATGAAACCTCACACCTGAGTTTTGCAGTTTTCATGTGGCAAAGTTTGGAGGTTGGAGACTCCTACTGACTCTCAAAGACAGTGGAAATATACTGGTGTGTTGTACTTTTTTTGGGGGGGTCTGAAATCTAGGGTCTACCTCTGGGAATGGCCACGGTCATCTACCTGTATTTTTGCCAGAGTCCAATAACCATTTTCAGAATTCTCCTTATGATGAGTCCTTGTAAATTAGAAATCTTATACTAAGAGAAGTAACCTCAAGCCGGGTGTGGTGGCACGTTTCTATAATCTCAGCTACTTGAGAGGCAGAGATAGAAGGATCTTAGTCTGAGGCTGGTCCAGGCAAAATGAGTGAGATCCCATGTGAAAAACAAAATAAAAGCAAATAGACTGGGTGTGTGACTCAAGAGATAGACTACTTGCTTAGTTAGCAAAATGTGAGTCCCTGAGTTCAATCCCCAGTATGGCCTGAGATGGGGGGGAGAGAGACAGACAGAGAGAGAAAGAGATGGAGTGGGAGGGAGAGAGGGAGAAAGGAGGAGGAGAAGGAGGAGGAGGACGCAGAGGAGAAAGAGAAGGAGAAGAAAGGAGGAGGAGGAGAGGGAGAGAAGGTAGAAGAAGATAACTTGAATTTAAGGCAATTCTGTTTTAATAATAGCTGATCCACTGTAGGCTAGGGATAAAAACATAAGAAAAAGGGGCTCGAAATGTGTGTACATTTTTAGTTCTGGCACTGTGGCAAATTAGACACCCTGAAGAATCTTTCTGATTAAAATTATTAAAATGGCTGTGTTAAATGTTATAAATATTTTAAAGTATATTATGCACATCGCTGAATTTGCAGGAAAGGGAGGAACTGTGTGTACATTGAATAAAAAGAATTAATTGGTGAATTGCCATTAGCAATGATGGAGGGACACTGGGAAGTGTGATTCCTCCCTAGAAGACGCCACTTCCATCACATTCTCAAACATGCTCTGGAAAGTGAGTACCTAATACTAAAAACAAAACCAAACACATCCACACACAGAGAAGTACTTTGAGTAAGAACCACTTAGAAACCATAGATGAGGAAAAACAGATCTCATGTTAGATATCGAAAGTATCAGACACAGTTAAACTGACAATGTTAGAAATAACACTAAAGAAATAAAAAAGAGGCTGAGAAATGTGAGGAAGGAAAACATGGATTTGAAAAAGAATCAGAGAACCAAACAATCAATACTTTACAAAAGAAAAGAAAATCCACTGGAAGGATTTAAAAGTGTATTAGACACAAAGTAAGAATTAGTACTCTGAATTTTAGAACTGAAGAAATTATCAATGATTAAGGCCAGAGAATTAAAAATAGAGAAATATGACATCAGAATGTAAAATGTAAGTGCAAGAGACTTGTAGAAGAGATTGGAACTGAATAATATAGTAGAGATACAGAAGGAATGCAAACGGGGATTTTTTTTTGCCTGAAACTATTAAAAGACACCAGTCAATTGTCTGACTCAGTAATTCTAATGACTTCTACGAAAAATAAGCTAAAGGAACCCAATACTAAATGACATCTAAATGAGACTGCACTGCTTTAAAGAAAAAGAACTTTTGATAAATTGTAAAAGTGACTTTGATCAGTGGGGAAAGAATGGAGTATTCAATAAAGATTTGGGGAACAATTGCCTAGCCATGTGGAAAAAATTGAAACCTGTTCTTGATGAATCTAAACATAAACCAATTCTAGCTGGTTCAAATGTGAAGAGGCCACAATTTTGTGGATTAGTTCAAAAATTTACAGATAGCAGAAAAATAGTATAAATTTTACTACCTTAAACTGAAAACTTAGTTCTATTTACCAACCAACACCTAAAGAGAGTAAAACAACCACAAAACAACAGAATTACTTTTGCCACTAACATAATTGATAAATGTATCTTTGGTTAACTGCATCAGATTAGTAGTCAGATTAGTACAAATTAATGCTATGACAGTATTATGCTCATATTTACCACTGCTAGATTGTCACACTTTCAGTGTCTAACAGTGCCATCATTGGCAAGGACTGGAGCAGCATGAAGTCTCACTCCCATGTAGCAGGAGTTACATACAAGATTATTCATAGCAAGACTTTACATAATAGCTTCAAACTGGAAACAACTCAAATATTCCCCAACAGATGAATTGATTCATATGTTACTACATCATACCACTGGGAAAATTAATGATTTCATCTACTAACATCTATGTGAATGTATATCAAAATGTTGAGCCATTATTGAAGAATTCTATAGTATTATTTCATTTAATTAAAGTTAACAACTGGAAAAACTTGATTTAAAAATGCTATTTAGAAATAACCTGCATAGATAGAAAAATTGTAAAGGAAAGAAAAAGAATGATTGACCCCAAATACAAGAAGATGCTTACCACTAGGAGAAAGAAAGAGTAACTTGGGAAGCAGGGAATGTAATAGGGACTGAACCTAGTGCAAATTGTTTTATTACTATTTTTTATTTTATTTTTTTGCTTTTACATTTACTCACATGTATATACATTGTTTGGACCACCTCTCCCCCACCCCCACCGGCAGAACCTGTTCGCCCTCTTGTTCTCCAATTTTGTTGAAGAGAAAACATAGGAGATAATAAGAAAGACAGCAGTTTTGCTAGTTTGAGATTAAGATAGCTATACTGAGAGATTCCTAGTATTGTTTCCATGCACTTGTGTATTGCAACCCACACTGATTCATCCCCACCAGACCTCTTCACTACTTCCTGGTCCCCTTCCCATAGTGGCCTCTGCCAGTTTAAGATTACTTTATTCACTCCTCTACAGTGAGCTCATCAACCACATTCAAGTTTTAGGTTTCCTTCCCTTTCACTATTTCTCCCATGTGTGTTATCCCCTTAGTGTGACCCATGTCCAGTAATATTACTGCATTTGTTTTAGGTTTATTATATATATGTGTGCACATATATGTTTGTATTTGACAATTTCAAAAAAGTGGAAAGAATATTTTCTGGCCACTCTTACCAGTGGTGAAAATAGGAAAGTATGGAGTATTAAAGAGAAAAATCTAGGTTAAGTTCCCTCAGGGCATAATTATTGAGTTATTCAGGTATATGAATGGCACTTCCACCACTACCAGGAAAACAAACTAAAGGAGTACTGTCTCAGATCTGCTGCGCAGTGGGACAGACTGAACTTGTTTCAGTTTTTAAATTTTAAAGGCAACCAGCTGGACAGCCTTATTGTTTGTTTGTTTTTTTTAATGTTGATTTTGCTTCAATAGGGGATATAATGTTTGAAACTGATTTCACCATTGTCAAAACAAACATAAATTACCAGAATCAGGGAATTGTGTTTTATAGTGTGATCATCAGTATTTTCATTTGTGGAGTACATTAGCTCTGACTCATCAATCAGATAGTCTTATTAAATCAGAAGAGGAAATGTCCACAAAGATTTAATAAGAATGCAGAAAGATAATTCAAAATAATAAAACCACCTTAATAATTTTAGCTTCATAACTAATTTACAGTATTTACATGGTTTGTGATTGGGATTCTTTTTGGCATATTAATTTGATTTTGAAATGCCCTCTAGCTTGGTGCCATGGGAACATTTCTAAACTCATTGAGGGAATCTTCCATTATGAAATACTTGTGCGTTGCAGTGGAATTCATAGGTTATCAACGGATTGTTTATCTCAAATTGTGCAAGATTCACGCTATTTAAAATAGAAGCTATTTAAATTGAAAGCTTTAGAAACCTCTCAAATTTTGAGAAATAAATCAATAATTTTGCATGGTTTCAGAGACCTCTGAGGCATCCTGTAATGATGGTGAATGGGAACCAGATGAGTCCTTTATAATGGCTTGGAAGTGATTTGTAATGTCTGCAACTCATCAGTTGTAAAACTGACTGCATTTTTTCTTAAATTTTAAAAGTAGCCAGGGGATGTAGCATTTTACTTATTTAGTCTATAAATACTAGAGCAAATTATTACCCAATAAATTTTCTAGTGAAACTCAGACAATAGTTCCAGACAATACCTATAAAGTGTACGTAAATATGGTCTACCTATACAATATATTACGAGAGTCCACAGTGGCTTTAATTAGGACTTCATTTAAAAAGTAATTAGAATTTTTTTCCACGCTTGATATAATTTATCTGGATGAAATTATGGAAATATTGGCAATTTGACCATTCCTGTTTTATTCTTCCTTACAGGGAATCTGACTTTCTTATATTTAGAAATAGACATTTGGAAAGTAAAATATTTCTATTCTCTTTGTCTTGAGTTAGCTCTATTGTGGTTTCACTAGTATGACTTCATGCTTTTCTTTAATATCGTGAACCTAACCTTCCACAATGTTGGAGCTGACGTTTTTAATGATTAAGGCTGAACTTAGACAAATAGTTAACCACTCTTTGATTAAAGTAATATTTGTTATTGCTTGTGCTTTATTCTTTTATAAAAGCATTAATAAGGAAAAGGAAATTGGGTTGAGGATTAACTAGAAAATATGAGTACAGATGTGTTAGAAATATAAGAAAGAGAGTAAGGTAGAATTAAGAAAGTTAGAGGAGCTGAACCAATTGGTGTCACAATGCATCTATACATGGAAATAGCACAAGGACATGCTACCTGTATCTCAAAAAAACAAAAATGTCATGTTTTTCTTTTTCTCTTTTTTCTTCTACAAAATAGAGAACAGGAGAGTGGAACAGGTCCTGACCGTGGGGTAGGGTTGGCACCAATGAGAGGAGGGAGGTGTTGGGGAAAGGAGGTAGGAAGGCGAATACAGTGCAAAAAATGTGTACACATATTATGTAAATGCAAAAATGATACCTGTTGAAGCTATTCTGGGTATCGGGGGAGGGGGGAATAAAGGACAGGGTTGAGGGGGTAAATTCGTGTATGATATGTTTGTTACATTGTGAGAGCCTTTGTAAATCCCACTATGTACACCCCCCCACAACAATAAAGGGAAAAAAAGTAACATCAAAAAGATGTGATAGCAAAACAAGTAATATTTTCTTCATGTAAGGCTTTGGAAGCATAGTAAGCGTGTCTAAATTTTAATTCTGGACTTTGGATTTAAAATATATATATTTTTTGTTGAATTTCATGTCATAGATATACAAATTCAAATTTCCTTCATTAGTCCAGAGAACAGTACATTTAATGTAATGAGGCAATTACGGAGAGATTGTGAAATAGAGTTTAAAAAGATGTGTTATCATGTTGCAACACTGATGTGTTTAGCAATCACAATTGCAAATCAGGGAACTGCTATGAATTTTTTCCTAACTGCTAATACAAAAAC